ACCAGATGCAGCATCTCATGCCTGCAATTCCAGCACTTCGGGAGGCCAAGGCAGGAGAATGACATGAATGTGGGAGATGGAGGCTGCAGTGAGCCGACATCATGCCACTGCACTCCAGCCCGGGCGACAGAGCAAGATTCCATCTCAAAAAAAAAAAAAAAAAAAAAAAAAGACAAAAGACAAATATCAAATGCTGGCAAGGATGCAGAGAAAAGGAAGAAGCTCTTATACACTGTTGCTGGGAATGTCAATTAATATACATATTATGGAAAACAGTGGGGAAGTTTCTTAAAAAAAAACTAAGAGTAGAACATATGATCCAGCAGATTTGTCCAAAGGAAAGAAACTCAGTATATCAAAGGGATATGTATATTTATTAAAGCATTCTTCACAATAGCGAAGATAAGGAATCAACCTAAATGTCCATCAACAAAGAAAATGTGGTGTGTATACATACACGATGGAATACTGTTTACCTGTTTAAAAAGAATGAAATCCTGTCATTTGCAGCAACATGGATAAGCCTGGAGTACATCATGTTAAGCAAAATAAGTCAGGCATAGAAAGATAAATACTGCATGTTCTCACTCATGTGGGAGCTAAAAAAAAAATCAAGCTTGTGGAGGAAGAGAGTAGAATTGTAAGGTACAGGAACTGGGAAGGGTAGAGAGGTGGGGAGGATGGAAAGAGATTGGGTTAGTAGATACCAAAATTATAGCTAGATAGAAAGAGTTCTGGTGTTCTGCAGCAGTGTAGAATGAATAAGGTTAATTTATTCTATATTCTCAAGAAGCCAGAAGGGAAGATTTCACTGTTCGTGACACAAATGATAAATGTTTGAGATTATAGATATGCTAATTACCCTAATTTGATCATTACATATTTTTTACACATATCAAAATATCACTGTCCCATAAATATGTACAATTATTATATGTCAACTAAGAATAATAGGGGAAAGAAGTGACAGAACCATATACTCGCAATTGTCAACAACAAAAAAAAAGTAAATAAATCTGCCAAGCAGTACATTTGGCCTGCATGGAGGAAATTATTAACATTTTCTGAAGGACATCAAATGATATTAGAATAAATGTCAGAACAAGAACTGTACAATTAGTCAGGTTTGTAAACAAATATATACATGTGGTACAAAGTTTATATAATAAGAATGTATCTAAATTTATAACAATAAGTCAAATGGAATTGGCAAAGTCTGATGGGAAACGTTTGGTCACATTTTTTGTGTTTAAATTTTTAAAGAACATGTATCTGTGTATAAGTTATATAAAAATTAGAAAATAATGTAATTCATATATTTTTAAAAGTTGGTGCATTTAACTACTGCAGTGTGCCCCAAATATGCTTGCAGCTAACTATCCAAATACATTTTGTATAATAAGATAATTCTCCCCTTTTTGTCAGAATATAGTAGAGCAAATGAAGTATGCTTCATTTATTCCTCACTCCTTGGGTTGTTGGTTTTATGCCATGTTTCCGCCAGAATCAGGAAACTCCAGGGCCTTAAAGAGGTTTTCTCCTCATAAGTGCTAGTAGTTATTTGTGGCTCAGTATTATCCAGACCCAGTGGGAATAGTTTTTATTTAAAAAAAAAAAAAGCAAATATTTCTCTAACTCGTTTTTTACATGAGGAATAAATCCCGACTTTGTAGAATCATAGTAGCGAGTAAACAATGCTTGGGGCAAAATAGCATTGCAAAGCAGAACACTGGCTCAGCCTCATGGTGATTCCTGGCTTACTGTAGGGCATGCTCTAAGAGTGAACGTAGCCACAGAGCAAGATGTGCACCATTGTGCTTTCTAGACAGTGAAGAAAATTTACTCATCTCCATTGCCTGCTGGCCTTGGCGTTCCTGTAACTGCTCTTTGTTCTTATTTAATCCTTAATTAGCCTGTCTCATATTATGTATGACTTGGAGGACACCTCTGGTACACACTCAGAAGTTTGAATCTTCAAATAAGATTACCAGGCACACATAAGTGGAACATTTCCATCTCCTTTTAGCAGTGAGCAGCATTTGCTGTTATATCCCTCTGCCTGTGGTGAGATGTGGCTATCTCTGATACCTCGGGTGAATGACAACACCAGCCTATTATGAGATTTCTCACCTCTGAATTCCTGTAGGATTTGCAGTCTGTAACACACAGGTTCACACTGATTGTTCTCTAGCAGTTTTATGTGTGAAGAGGCTGGGAGTACTAGTGTGTCTCCCAAAGTGTGACTCAGTACTGGACAATAGTAGGCTTAATAAAGAAGAGAATAGAGAGGAAAGGAGGAAGAAAGGTGTGTGATTGCCTTATCTCCCAAATTAGATTGTTGGCTTCTTAGCCCAGACACCATATCCTTTATTCTGTCTCCTTTAATACTTATTAGAATATTTGGCAAACTGAGTATACAGTGCATGCTTATGGTGTAAAGGCCTAAGGTTTTATTTAATGCATAGATTATCTCAAAAAGATCCCATTTCCACTCACTTGAACTAAATGCAGCCCAAAGGAAAAAGCATTTTCTGTAAATGGTATTGAAATTTTATTTACACTGAATTGAGATATCTCTAAATTAGTTTTAGATTGGCCTCTCATAGAACTGTAATCCTCATTTCAGAGAACAAATCTCTAAACTGGTGGTGCAATGAAGATAGTTATGACAACAGAAGTGTATGTAGCTATAAAACATAGATATTACTCTAAAGAAAGTACTAACAATGAAATCCTGTACATGACTAAAGCATTGCAGTGACTAAAAACTCATTCTGATGAAGGGTGATGGCATTTGGCCCACTGACTAGAGTTGGGAGGTGCATACTACCTTGCCATTGTACCTCTGCCAAAAAAATTAGTTGATTATACATATGTGGGTGTGTTTGTAGATCCTCTCTGTTCTATTCAATTGAGCTATAAACATTTCTACCAATGCTAAACTATATTGAGAACTATAGCTTTCTAGTGGAATTTGAAATCAGGTTAGGTAAGTCCTACAACTTTGTACACCTTTCTTAAAATTACTTTATTGTAGAACCCTTCATTTCCATATACATTTTAGACTCCATTTATCTAGTTCTACAGCACATCAGCCAGAATTTTTGGTTGTGAGTGCATTAAATCTATACATTAATTTGGGAAGAATTGCCATATTAATATTCACATATTTATGATTTTTTTCAGTGAAGTTTTGTAGTTTGAAGTATAAAGGACTTGTCTTTTGTTAGATTTATTTTTAGGTATTTGCCTTATTGGTACTACTGTAAATGAAATTTATTTTCCAATTGTTTGCTGCTTACAAGAATACTTTGTGTATTTTTGCAACCTTGTAAAATTCATTAATTCTAGTTCTTGTTATAAACATTCCCAAAGATTTTCTATGTAAAAAACATCACATTTTCAAATTGAAAACGACATAAGGGAACACACGAAAAACTGAGAGGCAGATATCAGAAAAGAAGTAAAATTATTTCCAAGAGATCCCTTTGACTAGAATTGGTAAAAACAGGTATCCTTGCTTTGACCTCAATAGAAAACAATTTAGCCTTTCACCATTTAAGTGTGTAATGTTAGGGATTTAACTGTTTGTATATGCCCTTTGTCAGGTTAAATAAATTCCTTAGTATTTCTAGATTGTTGTGTTTTATCAGTGGGTTTGAATTTTTGTCCATTGCTTTTTCTGCATCAGTTGGAATTATCAAGTTTTTCCCTCCTATATTCTGTTACTCTAGTGAATAACACTGATTACTTTTAAAATGTTAAACCAACCTTGTGTTACTAGGACAAGCTCCACTTGGTTATATGTAATTCTTTTTATATATGACTGTAACCGTAAGTTCCACATCTGTGGATTCAACCATCCAGAGAGAGTTTTTTTTTTAAATAGATGGTTGTGTCTGTACTAAACATATATAGACTTCCAACAACTATTACATAGCATTTACAATGTATTATAAGTAATCTAGAGATGATCTAAAGTATACAGGAGATTTAAAGTATACAGGAGCATGTGCATATGGCAAATCTACACCATTTTATATCAGGTATTTGAGCATCCTTGGATTTTGGTATCTGAGGGGGGTCCTGGAACCAATCATGGATCCCAAGGGATGGCTGTATATGAATTTGGTTATTGAATGTCCTCCCCAAAGAAAGACTTTGGAAGATTAGAGTGGTCAGGAAAGAACTCTCTGAAGAGAGAATGTTTGGGCTAAGAATGAATGAAGAGGAGCCAGCTCTGCAAAACTGGAAGAACACTGGAGGCAAAGGGGAACACTAGAGTGCAAAAGGTATACAGTGCAACAAGCTTGCCTCATTTAGGGGACTTGTCCTGCATTTGGGGACAAAAAGAAGCCCAGTATGGCTGGGATATAGTAAGTGATAGGGAGACTGGACAAGATGAGGTGGATGAGAGAGAGACAGGGCCAGATGCAGCAGAAAAAGAGTTGCCAACCTCTCTGGTACCTCAGCCACTTTCCAACCTTTGGGAAGCCCTAAGAATTGTCTACCAGAATCTACTCAGTATCTGCTAGGCACATGCAGCTACTTAAATGTAATTAACTAAAAGTATATAAAATGAAAAATTCCGTTTCTTGGTCACACTAACCACATTGCAGGTGTCCAGTAGCACATGTGGCAGATGGCTCCTTTATTGGACAGTGCTGCTCTAGGAAAGCCAAAGGAGAAGTAATGCCAAGTTTGCTTAGCCTCTCCTCTGTAATTTTCTCTTTTAAAGCTAGAATCAGTGTTTTTCTATTTAAATGGAAATATATGTGGTACCTAGAAAACTAGCATGTGGCCTATTCCATATGCATATGTTCTCATGGATGTTTTTTACCTAGGACAGAAAAGATGAGGAGGACTGGTAAGTCACAAGCATTCTTAACCTCATTATAAATACATTGCAAATGTAAAAATGCAAAGTGTGGAAATCATGAATGTGAAAGTGGCTTTCAATTTATTTTAATAGGCGTTTTCTATGTCTCATTGTAACCTAGGGACCTTGCTGCAAGAAACTGCCTGGTGGGTGAAAATAATGTTCTGAAAATCAGTGACTTTGGAATGTCTCGTCAAGAGGATGGTGGAGTGTATTCATCTTCTGGCTTAAAGCAGATTCCCATTAAATGGACAGCACCAGAAGCTCTTAATTATGGTAAGAATAGACCACTTTTTTTTTCTTGGTGGTAAAAATGAATGGCATCAGCACAAAACATTCACAAGCAAAATTTACAGGGGTAGCACAGAATGCAAGTTAGAATGATTTAAGGATCAACACAAATGAGTGAATTTCATACCTTTTAATTTGTTGAAATTATTGATTAGATTTCTATATGTAACATTGCTATATTAAAAAGGTAGATATAAGTACTTTTAAATATGACTGTACATCTGAGAAGGTTTTTAATACCAAAACATGACTTTGTAATAGATTATACACAGAGTAAGTGTTGCTGTGGCTCTGGATCATTTCTTTCAAATGTCTTATAATTGGTCCAATAACCTCATCTAATGTTAGGTTCCTAAAATATTAAGTCAATCAGTTCTGTAGTTTCTCACTCTGAAATTGACGTGGTTTCTTAGCATCTCAGTCTGTGGAACTGATATAAATCTTGAGCAAAGAAGGAGATGGGAATTATATTTTAAAACAGCAGGGATTTTTTTCACTTGAATTTTTATGTGTCATTGTAATTGGAAATAAATATAACTTGCATTATCTGTGGTTGGGATGAAATGGGCCATAACAAGATGAATGACAACTCAAGAATTTAAGAGAAAAAAAAAAAGGAGTGTGCTTTAAGTGAAATTAGAAATTATATTTTCATTGAGGGAAGCAGCATATAAGCCATGGCTTGGTGAGTGGGTATGGTATGTTTTGAATAAAAATGTAAAATGATTCTTTGTTGATTTAAAATGAAATATTACCTCATTATGGGAACTAATTTGTAAAGCATTTATAAATGCCTTAATGTAATTCCGAATTTAGAGAAAGCTTTTTTAAAAAAATTGAGGTGAAATTCACATACCGTAAAGTTAATTACTTTAAAGTGAACAATCATTGGCATTTAGTACAACCGACAATGTTGTATAATCAGTACCTCTAGTTTCAAAACATTTTCATCATTCCAAAATAAAACCCTGTCCCCAGTAAGCATTCTCCCCCCATTCTTCCATCCTCTCGCCCCCTAGTAGCCACCAATCTGCCTTTTATTTCTGTGGATTTAGCTCTTCTGGGAATTTCATACAAATGGAATTATATAATATGTGATATCTTGTGTCTTGGCTTGTTTTACTTAGCATGAGATTTTTGAGGTTCATCCATGTCGTATCATGTATCAGTACTTCGTTCCTTTTTAGGACTGAATAATTCACTGTATGGATATACAACCATTTATTTATCCATTTTGGTATATTTGGGCAGTTTTCAGTTATTCTGTGTATTTACTAGAAGTCATGATAATTTTACATTTAACTTTTTGAGGAACCACCAAATGTTTTCCAGATAAAGTTTTGAATGGAATTGGTTTGGAAGTTGATTGGGGCTGACCCAGCTACCACAGATACTAACCCTCACTCTTAGTTTGTCTTTCAGTATGTCAGCAAGAGAGGTTCTTACGAGCTTTCTAGTGACTGCAAGCCACTTCCACTATTCCTTAGAATCTAGAGAAAATGGCAGACCTGCTGTTTTCCATAGTGATTTCTCTCTGCGGTGATTTTTATTATTAACTCTAGGGTCAGATTATATTACTAAGGGGAATGATCACAGGATAAAAGATTATAATACTCATATTTACACAAAGGTTTTTGTTAGATGACAAAACATTTTCAAGCACTAAGGAAGCTGTAACTGGGTTTCGGAGTCCTTAAAGTCTTACCAGTAAAATCAACTGTAGAATTTGCTCTTAACTCTGTTTGCCAGATTTTTTGTGTTATATAGCCTTTAAAAGTCCTCTTACTCTTAAACAGTTTTGCCAAGTAAAATTCTGCCTCTTGATCACAGTGTATTTTTTGAATTTCAAGCTGACTAAAGTGTTGTATTTACAAATTAAAAGTTTCAATTCTGGATATATCTAACAGCCAGACCTAAAGCATTTTAAGTAATAAGGACAAGTCTAAGGAGTTTTTAAAATTGAGACAGGGTCTTACTTTGTCACCCAGGCTGGAGTGCGACGGCGTAATCATGGCTCACTGCAGCCTCAACCTCCAGGGCTCAAGCGATCCTCCCACTTCGGCCTCTGGAGTAGCTGGGACTGCAGGCATGAGCCACTGCGCCCAGTCTCTGAAGATCCTTGATCTATAGTGAAGGACTTTTTTTAGTAGCCTTTAGTAAATTTTATGAAACATAGAACAATTTAGATGACAAGGAAGGAGAGATTTTGATATAGGAGACGTTTGTAGTATTTATTAATTACCCAGTCCAATGAGAGAGCTCCTGAAAGACTCTACAGGCCTTCTCCTAGCAACCCAGAGAAGTTTAGTTTCCACAGACTAAAATTACTGAAGATTGACTCTAAATCCTGGTGTGTGTTTTTTTTTTTTTTTTTTTTTCCTGAGATGGGGTTTTGCTGTCTCCCAGGCTAGAGTGCAGCAGTGCGATCTAAGCTCACTGCAACCTCTGCCTTCTGGGTTCAAGCAATTCTCCTGTCTCAGCCTCCCCAGTAGCTGGGACTACAGGTGCCCGCCACCACACCCAGCTAATTTTTGTACTTTTAGTAGAGACAGGGTTTCACTGTATTGGTCAGGCTGGTCTCAAACTCCTGACCTCAGGTGATCCACCCGCCTCAGCCTCCCAAGGTGCTGGGATTACAGGCGTGAGCCACCGTGCCCAATCCAATACTTCTTTCATATGTGAAAGTAGTATATACTCTTTCTTCACTCTTGTCTCAGAATGGGTGAAGCACTCAAGTCTCCCATGTAGTATGGGGTTGGGGTAGATGAAAGAAACCTCCAGTCCAAGGAACCTCTCTGAAACTTAGGGCCATAGAGCCATGATCATGCCACTATACTCCAGCCTGGGCAACAGAGTGAGACCCTGTCTCAAGAAAAGTGGGGAGTGGGACATAGAATTAAACCTGTTGTCACTGCTTTATCATAAGTGTTGTTTTTGTATATTTGGCTTTAAAAAAAAAAAGCAATACTAAAGGGCCTTCCCAGCCCTATTGCTAGCCAGATCATTGTCCTTCCTAGATGAAAATACTCTTGATACAGTCTCATACTTTTCTCATAAATGGCTGAGACATCTTTTTGTATATGTCTCTCTCATATACTTTTTTTGAAAAAAAATACAAAACAGTAGAATACTCAAAGCCTGTTTGGCATGTATTGCTACCATCCTTATTGACAGCTGTCACCAAAGGTACTGTTTTTATAAAGGGAAAATAGAATACTGATCTCCAACTAAGAAATCATCTATTTATCATCAATTATTGAACAGAAATTTTCCTTTTGTCACCTGGGTATTTGGAGCTGATATATCCTCTAATTAGTTATATTAGCATGATGTAACTAAGTACTGTGAAATGGGAGGGAGGCAGAATTTTTAGTGAGCAGATTTCCCAACCAGTTATGCCATTAGTTGCATGACCCTGGCAAGCCATCTACTACTCTACGTAATTTCCTAATTTGTAAGATAAGAACGATAGGACCTTTTCCCTATAGAGTATTGTGAAGATCAAATGAGACATAGAAAAGTAGCAAAATTCTATACAATTGTAAGTTACTCTTGGTCTGTTAAAATTACCCAACAAAACCAGGTTCAAAGATCCAGGTTTAAGAGCTAGGTTATAAGCTTTCACATCTGAAGTGTGATCTTGGTTTATATGTAATATATGTCTTTATTGATCTCTGCCCAGATACCTTACAAAATAAGATACAAGTCTGTATAACCGACATTTTCTTAAAGAATTAGTCTTAACTTGTAGCCATAGAATGACTTTCATGAAAAGTATTAAATTACTGAATGCCAAGCATGAAACGAGTTGATAGGCAGACAGGAAAATTAATCTTCCTCCCAAGAATGTCCATAATTACTGTCTACTAAGAAGGAAGCTAATTCACACAGCCGGAGCTGATAATCAGTTAGTACAACCGCACTCTGATGTCAGAGCCGTTATTATGGCAGGCATACTTTTGTTTTCACTAAGTACCCTTTTTTTTTTTTTTTTTAAGAAAGGCCATCCTATTTTAAAGTAACTTGACAGTTTTGGAGGAGGAGCATTTATAAATCCTGCAGTGGCGGAGTTAAGACAGGAAACTACCTGAGGGATAGAAAATGAAATAATTTAAGAAATCTTTAACACCACTGTAAATGGAGTTTAGTTATGATAGTATATGTAAAAGTAAGTGAAAAATACAAATATGTTGGGAACATCTTGGAAACTCGCTTCTTGGAGAGGCTGGAGATTGGAAAAGACTGATCCACTTCCCCTCGTTGATTAGAAGATACCTTGTGCTGGTTTGTATCCCTGTGCTTCTCTAGGAGACTACCAAAAACATTCTAAGAGCTTAGCTCATGTAGCTCAGTAAAACAGGCGCACCCAGATATTTCAACAAAACAGGGCACCATGTAATTTAAAGACGTTTTTATTAGCCAGCTATGTTAATTTCTACTGTTTAAAACACACAAAAATATTTTTCGTCAATGAAACTATCAGTGGAGAAAATGAGGCCTTTAAGCGTATAAGAACCTCTGTAAACAGCAATGAGTGAGAAATGAAGAAACTTGTCTCATTGCTTTACGTTTGTTTGTAATTTTAATGGAAAGAAAACGAAGCGGCGTAAGACAAAATTGCAGGAATCCAACTTGGTTAATCTCCTAGGATTGATACGTAAAAGCGTATATCTTTTTTGTATAAACCATCTATCATCTCATTCAGATACTCAGATACCACAGGGAAAGTAAGCTTGCACACTGGCTGAATATTAATTCTTGAGGGGAGGGAGAGTGATTTGGAAGCTGGTTTGATTAAACTAGCAGCCTGAAGAATATTTATTTAATTGGTAATATTACTAGACCTGGAATATAAAACCAGTAAAGAGAATAGGAAGACTGCATATCAACCTCCTTTGGTAAGTTTAAATACAGTCACGTATCGCTTAGGGATACACTCTGAGAAATGCGTCATTAGGCAGTTTCATCATTCCATGATCATAGGGTTTACTTACAGAAACCTAGATGATATAGCCTACTACATATCTAGGCTACAAACCTGTATAGCATGTTACTGTATTGAATACTACAGGTCATTTTAATGCAATGGTAAGTTTTTGTGTATCTAGACATAGAAAAGGTAATGTGTTATATGACATTACCATGGCTACCACATCACTAGGCAATAGGAATTTTTCAGCTCCATTATAATAGGACCATTGTCATATATGTGCTCCATCATTGACCAAACATTATGTGGTGCGTGACTGACACAGACATACATAACAGGAAGGGTCGCTTACTTGTCTACTGTGCCTCACTTGGTTGTGGTGGTGGTTCTCCTTCCAGGGAGATACAGTTCGGAGAGTGACGTGTGGAGCTTTGGCATCCTTCTCTGGGAGACCTTCAGCTTAGGGGTTTGTCCGTACCCTGGAATGACAAATCAACAAGCAAGAGAGCAAGTAGAAAGAGGTGAGCCAAATACATTCATTGTTAGTGTTCATGTCCAGCCCCAGGGGTAGGCGGTGCTTACAGTGTGTCTGCTTGAGGAGAGGGGGGTGTTAAATACTGTTTGGCTGTGTTATGAGACCATCTCTGGGGTTCAGAAGCAGATTTATCTAACATCTCTGCTCTTTACTTACATATCCAAACCGTTTAAAGGATTCCAATGCAAGAGAGAGGTATATAGGCTTTTCTTCCACCCTTTCCCTGTCTGGCAGGATTGTGCTGTTCACTGTCGTTAAGAGAAATAGGGTGGTGTTTCTCAAACTCTTGTATTCTATGCCAGATAAACCTCCTTTTAAATAATATTCCAAATTGAAATGTAGTTAGTCTTCAGGAAGTTTTTGAGAATGTGACAACATTGTAGCACTTCTGAAGAAACGCTTTGGGGTTCCTAGACCACGGATGGGAATAACTAAGCAATGGTGACATGCTTGCATGCGCTTGTATAGTGTACACTCTCGACAAAAAGAAGCTCGTGATAAAATACAATGCCCTAATGTCTGGGCCCCAGTGAGGGGCGTGGGTGTAGAAGTGGGTGTAGGAAGATGCCTTTCTAACTTCCTTCCTACGTTCTCTTACCTCTCACACACTACCCAATGCACTGCTGAAATACTGCCAACCAACAGACTGTAAAAGAATATGACTCATATTCATTTTTATTTCCCTATTGAATTCACATTTACAAAATCCTCATCTTCTCTTCATCTTGAAAAACATAGGTTGTAGAGATGATTTTTTAAAACTGCTCACAGCATCTAATTCTGAAAGTGAATACTTAGAGCAACTAAACTATGCATTTGTATGTATCTTACATCAGACTTTCTGAGAAATGAACAAATAAAAAATGTTCTTTGAATTAGAAGTCTGCAACTCTGTAATATTGAATTCTGCATCACCTGTAGAAAATAAAAAATCAGCTTCCCCAGAAATGGATGTTTTGTTTCCATATAACTACAGCATAAGGTACTAAAAGTTAATAACTGCATAATGCCCTGTGTGAACATCTGTATCTTATCTCCATTCTAAATTCTCTGTTCTCCTTCTCTTGGGTCTTCAGGATACCGGATGTCAGCTCCCCAGAACTGTCCAGAGGATATTTTTAAAATCATGATGAAGTGTTGGGATTATAAACCTGAAAATCGCCCTAAGTTCAGTGAACTTCAGAAAGAGCTCACTATCATCAAGAAAAAACTCACATAGTGACAGGATGGCGCCAAACCCAGCCTTCAGGACTCTGTCCTCCAGCAGAGTAACGTTATTGTCCTCATTAACAATGAATTTATACCACATTACCTTCGACAGTCTTCTACCATTTTTTTTTATTAACTGGGTGTTTTAAAAGTATGTTCCACTTGTAAAAAGTCAAACGCAAATTTGTTAAAGAAATAGGCAGTCCTACCAAGGGCTTTCTTAGCTAACCATAGCAATCCTACCATTTCAGGCCATTGCACATGGAAAAGCACAGGCTTCTAAGTGTGTGAAGGATAAAAGATTTATCCTTTTCACACCTTGTTTCTACTTCAGGCACAGTTTGTGGGCTGCCATCCTATGCCACAGACCCTACTCAGTTGGTGCTATAAACAGTATTGGTAATGCCATGTTTGCAGTACATATTCCAACCACAGCTGGCTTTCTCCTCTGCCAAAGCAAGATTATATTTGTAAACAGATTTTTATATTGGGAATTATTTGGACCTCCTGAGGTTTTTCTTTTCTTTCTTGCCAGGTATAAGCCCAATGTAAGAATCATCATGCTCCTACATTATTCGTAAGGTTGTCATTTTCCTCCTCCTTTGGGCATCAGAAAACAATGCACATAGGCCGGGCACTGTGGCTCACGCCTGTAATCCCAGGCATGAGGATTACATGCCTGGGATTACAGGCGTGAGCCACAGTGCCCAGCCCCCTCCCTACTTTGGGAGGCCGAGGTGGGCGGATCACCTGAGGTCAGGAGTTCAAGACCAGCCTGGCTTACATGGTGAAACCCTGTCTCTACTAAAAAAAACACACACACACCACAATGCATGAAACATCGTTAAAGTTAGAGTTGAGGCAGTTGCCTTTCAAGGATGTTATAGAGAACTGTGAAGCAAGAAACAGGTTTGAACAGGAGGGTGGGCTGGAGAAAAGAGCAGCTAGAATGATTATCAAAAGTAAAGAAGAAAGTAAAAATATAAAACCACCTTATCAGAGTTATGCCTTTATAAACACACATTCACATATTCTATTCTAAAAACACATAATACGTATTCTATTTTATGGTCTAAATTTACCAAAAAGGTCCTGAGAAAAGTTTCAGGAATTCATAGAGTCCTCTTAATGGCAACAAAAATTTTGAGAGAAACTGCAAAGCACAAATCCACAGAAATAACAGCATACTTTCGGTTAAGCATCTTCACCTTAGAGGGGGCATTCCAAAATGTAATTTCCTTTATTTCTACCAGTTTTTAGAGCTGTCAGAATTTCATGATTCTAGTTCACCAATACATTCACGTGTGTGCATGTGCACACACACACTACCAAGGTGCAAGACAGATGTGAATGGACAGTCTAGAAGTCAGGTGAATATTAATGAGAAAGATAACATAGGGACAGCCCTCCCATTTCTACTTCCACCTTCATTGACCCTTATACTGCCCCCTGGACATTCTTACCATTAGCTGGCAGGTATGCGAGCGTAGTGCTGAAGATGTCTCATGTGGATAAAATCTAACTAACTCAGTTAAAAGTAGGATTCTGTATCTTAACTCTTATCTAGGGAACTAACTGCACGATCTGTATATAGTCGCCTCTCAGGATAATACATATATAGAAGATGGTCATGCTCAGGGCTAAATATGTTCTGGAAGCCTTTTATAAGTTCTCAGGCCTGTGTCCTGGTAAACATCACCTTAGTGATTATTTGGTCTGCATTCATTGGAAGAGCTTAGGGATAGAAAATTCCTCCTGCCCTCTCCAGCTGTTTGCTGCCTGTACCATCGCACAGAACTCACATTACTTTAAATTTAGATTATGAAAGATAATACTGAAGAGCAAAGTGACTTGTATCTGTCATTTCAGTCTCCTTGCAAATTTCATACATACTTAATGATTAGTACATTCAGACTAAAGGGAACTTTCTTTTGATGGCACATACTATGGTAAATCAAAGCACAGACTCAGAAGTGCTTACCAGCCTTCAAAAGTAAGAGTAAAATGGGATATTCTTACCCTTTTTTTTTTTTTTTTTTAGTATTTCTAAGTGAATCTCTATAATATTCTTTGTCTGTTTAAAGAAAACAGCCTCCCATCACATAGTGACTTCATGCTAAGCTCCTAGCAAGAAGAGAAAATGATGTTTTTGGCTTTAGTTTTATAAACAAGATCAAAAGCTTAATCCTGGCATTCTGGTGTAAAGAAGGAACACAGCATTGATATTTCACTCATCCAGTCTGTTACAATTTGCAGTTCACATCATTACTCTGTGCTTAAATTTAAAAAGCTTTTCAAAACATCGTGACATGTGTAGCATTTAAATTCCATTTTATTCTTTGTCCTAAATCCGGCAGTGGTATAGTTCAAGATTAATAACTTATTGGGAGTCTCTCAGTCATATAGAATATTAAATTTAATATAGGCACATGCAGTAAGAAAAACTAATGCAAACAATTTTTCACTGTTAATTTTGTTGTGCTTGAAGCATAATTTATTCATCCCTTCTGTCACTGGTAATTATTGGAATTATGTGCTTTAGGAGGCTAATCCATGCCGAAGAAGCACACACATACTGTTCAGAATGTGCAAGTTGATGTAGGGAAAGGAAGCTTCAGAAATGTACAAAATCCTGTGATTTGTTTAGTAAGAAAAGAGTTGTAACCAAAATTTCTTCTGGTCTGGATGTAATTAGTCCAGTCACAAATCTTTGTGTTAATGGATTGTTCAAGAGTTAGATCTCACTACTGCATAGTTCCCCTCCTAAGTCCTTAAACTTATTGAAATAAGGGGAGGTAAACAAGCAGTCTGTCTCTCGCTGGTGTCTTTCCACCTTGAATCACTAACGGGCCTTTATGAGAAAGTTTAGGTTGTCCATCATTTTACAAGGAAAGACATTTTTCACTGTTAAATTAACATTTATTACCAACATGTGAAACCTAAAATTAATTTTGTATCCCATGTAATCTAAGGCCAAAGCCAACATATTCTTTCTCTTCCGGGAAAATAAAATGGACAGGTTTTATTTAAGCTTTCAGAAACTGAAGCTTTATTCCACCCATCCTGCCACGAGACCACCAGTGAAAGATCTCATGTGATTGTTTCTCTTTTATCTCCCAAATGTAATGTGGGCAATACAATTCTCCTTCCACAACTCACTGTTTTATTACAAATACAATATTACTGAAACATCTTATTAGCAGATAAGTGTAGACCAGGAGCCTAATTGTTTTGGGTATTTTCAGTGCACATTTCACAATTGTTTTTCATTTTAGGATTATTTTGAGAAGAAAACAAAATATTTTGTCATTGAAATAGTTTTAATTTCCTTTAAACCATAATTTGGTTTTTGTATCTATATTATATTCAATTCAGTTTTCCCATATAACTTTTCTGAAGATTGGCTAGTACCACAAAATAACTATGGCTTCACAATACTAGTGTTAGATTATGTCAAGAAGAAAGTATTTTAGTTACAACATATGCTACCCACTGAGGACCTTGTAGTGGGATAAACAAAAATTAAAATGCAACAATCCAAATAAATTATAAGGTAACAGTACAAATATCTGAATCATAAGTCACAGTTGTTCAGGGTTATTTCAGTCACACCACTTTATAATTAATCCTTGTGAGTCATCAGATGGAAGAATGTACCTGAAAACCTTACTTAGTATACTCTGTGTACACTGTTTAATGGCCATGCATCTTTTCAAGATTGATATTTTCTGAAAAAGGGTTGTTTGCCTCAGCCCTCTTCTTTTTACATATACTCCCTTTATCATTGATATTTTAGATGTTTCTTATCAACAAAATTGGCTGCCTGTGGTTAGTGCTATGAGTCCTGGCAAGACTTGCTTTTGCATTTCGGAAGCCAGACCCTCCTACAAAACAGAACAGTGCAAAATAAGCAGCAGAGAGACAGACAATTGGAAAAGACATGTTTTCTTTAGGTATTAATATCTTAATTAAATGGAATCAGATTTTATATGAAAATGAGTTTATATTACATTTCCATTATACTGTTAAGTTAGTGTGAAAGTTTACCATCAAAATAGTGTTACTTCTTTTATGACTCTGATTTGCTTGTACATATCAGAATGTTCATTAAATGTTTTAATTTCATTTATTTTCCTATGTTTTGATTAGTTTCACATCAAGTCTGAATACTGTATATTTTGGAAGAATCCAAAACCACATATGAAGATACTCTGATTTTAAAAGTCAGGATTTCATGTACCAAGAAAGACCTACTTGAAGGAGATTTTGCTACACTCTTAGAGTCCCCAAAATTCCCCTTTTAAAAAAATGCTGTCCTCTAGAAGGTGTATAAACTATTCCTTAGTCATAATTCAATTTAATGAAATAGTACCCCATTAAAAACCATCCTCCTGCCTCATACCAATTCAGAGATTAAATTCTGACCTTTTAGTGTAGGCATTAGGAATCACTTAGCCACCTAATAAGGACTAAGATTCTTGGGTGGCAGAAAAATCCTGATGTGCTAGATTCTTAGTCACTTTAAACTGCATAGAAGTAATGAGCATAGGCTTCAGTATATTTAATAAGGTGCTGAGGCAGCAGATTCAAATGCAAAAGAGGGAGGAACCAGTTATTCCAAGGCAGGATGATGCACCCCCACACAGAGTGTGGAAAAATTAAAGTGAAACAAAGATTTGGACAATGGCATTAGGAAGCCTAAGGAGAACATGCTACAAGGCCAGATCCTGTCCTGTGGAAGATAAAAAAGATCAGCAGAACTAAAGCAAAAGCAGTCATCTCCAGTGTGTGGGCCTTAGCAAGAGTAAACCAAATACCTCTCATTGTGTTAGAAGCTGTGTTATATTCCCAGCTTAGAGATGATTGTGTGCTGCGCAATGCTTATACTCATTATTTTCCCAACTAATGCATTTGGTCATATGTATTCCAGTTTTTCAAAGACACTACCCAAAGCCTCTTTACATTTGCATTGGTTATATTTAATATTTCTTAAGCTAAGATCACTGATTATCCACACATTATTAGAAATCTTTGGTTACAGTGAAGCTAAAGTCTCCGAAATGAGACTACACTTAGATCAGCCCTATTTCACCTTTGGACTA